ATAAAGTGGTTCTTCCTATTAATAATTATTGTAATTAATACAAACTAGTGAGATATACCTCAACTTCTTTAATTGATTCAGTATCACTTTGAACAGACAATGATTCTTCCTAATAATTAAGATATTATTATACAGTACAGCTGAAAATATCACAGAAGTTAAATTTGTACAAATTTCAAATGGCAAGTTTTATAATCACATCAAGTGTGACTGAGCATGCTCAGAATGAGACAAGATGGCAGGTTCTATATTTGCAGATGCTTACTGCAACTGGCAATCAATCCACCAATTAATTCCAGCTACATAGTACAGTATTACTTAAAATATCTGACAAGAAAAACTAATGAAACATCAACACATATATGAAGCAAGGCAAAATGACTAACAGACCTCATGCACTCACAAATACAGATACATGTAGTATATGCAAGATAGGCCATATGTGAAATTTGTGGATATAATTATTACAGAGGTAAGGATGGAATTTGTTAGTAATGCAATGAAATATTTAAGATTACAAGCACTGACAAAAGTTTGTACGTAATTATTAATACCGTATAGGGGTTAATTTACTGGAACTAATTTTGCTAATTTCACGTTTTCATTAAATTTGCAAAATTAAATTCTACAAGAGGTGTGGCACTCTAGGAAAATGGCTGCAGAAGGTAAGATTCGTGAAATTTTATACCAACAAAATAAAACCCCTATACGGTAATAGCTAACCTCCAGTACTTTCATCATTGATAGTTCTTGTTTTAATTTAATTGTTTCCTATTACAAGTACAGTATATCCAACCATCTGGTACGTGAATGGCATACCTTCTCTTCAATACTAATAGCATCTCTTAGTTTAGGATCAGCTTCTTCAAGTATAATATAAGAAGTAACCTAAAAATACATGCATGAAAGCTTTAGTGTAAAAATGTCTTAAATTGCTTGGACATAATTATAATTTTGAAATGTACACTGACATCTGTATGTCGCAATGAATCTTGATCCTTTTCTTTTAGTTCCTGTACAATGTAATCAACTATTAATGTGCAAATATATACATGTACATGTACCTTTTGTCTAACATCTTGTCTCCTCCATAATGTTAAGTTACCAATAGTCAGTTTCTTTAATCCTTGTCCCATTAGTATGTGAATATTCTCTATCATCCTCAATACAGTAAACCCAACATCAGAGAAAGGAAAGGAGCAAGTGACACATATTGAAGTGGAGGTTTCTATATACTCAATCTTCAGCAGTTTACCAGATACTTTTGATAGTATATCCTTAATATCCTTCAGTATGTGTTCCTCTGGCTCCCAATCAAAGATAAAAGTAACTGTTTCACATTGAAGATGAGAAATGGAAGCAAATCTTTCCTTTAAACAAAGACTGATGGAGAGTGACTTGCAGAATTCCTTTAACTCTAATCTATATGCCTCAATGTATGTTGTGGCTTCAGTGATCTCCATTTCTTCCACAACACTATGAAGAAGTTCAATATCAGTCAGTGAACACTCATTTTGAATAAGACGCAATAGACTAGAAATATTAGTACATTGCTCTGCTTTTTGTCTAAGAATAGTGCCACAACAAGAAAGGAATTCTTTTATTTCTTCTAAAGGAGGAGATTTTCGCTTAATGATTTTGCCAACATTGTAAAACATCCTTCCATAAGACATTCTCATTGAGCTAAAGTTTGTCAGTAAGTCTTTAGGAACAGGAACATGTATTTTAACTATAAAAGATATTATTACTTCAGTATACATGTAAAATGTGTATACCTTGAGGTAATAAAGCTTGGGATTGGGAAGAGGCAACTTTTGCATCAGAAGATGTGTCTATAAATTAAAAGTACAACAATCTCATGTACAACAACATACAAATGTACCAGATTGTGGATTAGTTGGTATTTTGGTTTCATCAGTACTTGCATTATCTATAAATATTAATGAATGCATATCATCCATCAATAATAATTACTTAGAGAAACTACACTATGGTCATCTTTAATAGTCTCAGGAACCACAGCCACTTCAGGAGTAGGAAAATACTCACCTAAACACATACCGTACGGTTGGTAAATTTCGTGGGGTATTAATTTTCGTTAATTTCGTGGTTAATTTTTATCCACGAAATTTTAACCCCTACCCACCCACACATAAAAACTAATTAACGGGCCATGCAGAGCTCTAACTACTATTTCCAAGCCAGTGGAGGAGCCAGAGTCTTTGTCTATTACTCCTTATTCCACTATAAGCCATGTATTGGAAGCTAGTGCTGTAGATCTAAGTGAAAAGAAGAGTGCTAACTGCCATCCACGAATATTTATACCCACGAATATTGGCTTCTAAGGACATTTTGGAGAAAACACGAAATTTTGGACCCTCGAATATTACCAACCGTACGGTAATAAACAAACAATTGTAATTAGCATAGGATATACTGAACAGCATACATGTGAATGTACATGTAGTTTCAATTACGACACATCAAATGTCACATCAGTGGGCTTTGCCCAATAACTAACCCACCCACGAAAACTATGAATTATGAATATAATTAAAGTGACAAGTGATTACTCACTAATATCATCCAGTATAGTTTGTCCCAGTGATACATTAGTACTTATTGTACACAATACATTAGCAAATGTATGTAAACTGTTGGGATCAGATTGAACAGCTTCTTTGACACCAGTTAATAGAGCCTCACGTTGATTAGGAATAGAGGGACTAGCTGACACCACTCTACTAACTGCTTCTTGTGTTAACATACGTTCACCATAAAGTAACCAAGCAATACTAACAGAATCACAAAGAGGACAGTATGACGATTATTAAAAATATTAATAAGAACATGATGTTCTATGATAGAAAATACAATGATTATAGTTACATACAGTTATGGTTGACTCACTTAGCTTCTCAGCTACAGCAGTTTCATTCATAGATTGTAGAGCATCTGACAGTGAGTCCAAGTTGGCTCCTCCTCTACTGTCAACATTGTCAGCTCTACCTAACCATTGGGAGAGGCACTCTGTCATACAACGAGATACATCATGAGGATGATTCTTTTCTATGATGTCCAGTGTACTCTTCCTTAATCCTAGTCTCAGTCCAAGATCATACCAATTTGCTTTAGGAAACCCACATCTGTTCAGTGAATCAAGAACATCAACAAGATCATCAACACCTACAGATTGGCAGATTTAATATGAGGCTTCCACTTGTGTTAGACCCCTCGGGAAAATGCACCATAAATCACTGAAATCAGGAAGATTATGCAGTAGAGAAATTTTGTGTTTCAAAATTGTGCTGTGATATATTATTTACATAATACTGTATAGCGGGTTTATTTCAAGGATTATAATATTCGCAAATGGCTTGTATCCGGAGGTTCACAAAATTAATTTTCACGAATTGCCACTTTTCTGCCCTCTTGTACTGTATTAAATTGATTTTCAAGGAATTTAATTTTGCGAATCTTCAAAAATCAGCATAACTTGTTATTCTCGAAATAAACCCGCTCTACTGGATGTATCATTGAGTTGCACATAATTATTATAATTATTATGATTGAATGTAATAATAATAAAGATTTGTAATTAATTTTCGCAAAATTGATTCTAGATCTAATCCAGTAAATTTATGTACAAGTCATGCACAGTAAAAATTTCAAGATAAAAGGTAGACTCTATACTGATTACCTAAACAAGCTTGACTAGTAGCCATAGCTATGAATTGATCCTGTCCTGAGGCCAAGACCTCACACTGAACTTTTCTTTCTTTAGTTTCCTCTTCTTTGTAACTGTAAGCACTGAGTTTTTGGTCTGCACATAGATAATAGAGTATTTACTCTATTATTATTTAGATAATTTACTCTATTATCTATGGTCTGCACTTGCAACTTTGCAAGGGTCGTGAAATAAAATTAGAACAATTCGTATTATTAGAATACAAAATGTCTGATGAAACTGATGATGAACTCTTTGAGATAACAGATTTTACTAATGCCTCCCCGTGGGAAAGGTAAGTATCAGCTCCTTTATATAACTTATCAAACATTCTCTAGTTTTGTCTCCACCATTGAAGACATATTGCAACAGTGGGGCCTCACTGCATCCACTTATTCAGTAAGACATTAACAGTCTCTCAGTCACTGTATCTCTTCTTAAAGGCAGATTCTGGTTATTGGCCACAGCATAGGAAGTCAGAGAAGCTCTCTTATGTTGGACATAATTTCATTGTTAGCCTCCACGTGTCTGGTGAGAAGAAGCGACCGATACCGAAACAATGAGGTGATTGGTGATAGTGGGTGTGGTTTATAATGGGTGTGGTTTGGTATAGATGAGGATTGGCCTGATGCTATGGTACATATGATGGATTCATCAAGTGATTTCCCTCCAAGAGCTCATCATCATATCTCTAGATGGTAATAATTATCGTATAGTCGTATACATGTACATGTACCAGTACTTGTAATTATTATTTCTAATAATTTCAGGATGGTGACATTTGGTGTAAAACTCTTATATTATTTTCTAATAATAGACCACCCAGAGTGAGAATTGCTTGCGTGGGAAGACTATTACGGTTGTAAGGCGTGGTTTACAATGAAATAAATTCTGGATTCC